CGTACAAGGATAAACTAGAAGGAATATTTTGTTTGTGTTTTGCCTTGGGCTGTGTGCGCTCACCAGATAGGCAGAGAAGGAAAGTGAGAAACCACCCCCTGGGGGATGGCCACCCACAATCTCCTCTCCTCCATTCTCCTCTTAGGATTTTGGGAACACACAGGTGTCCAGCGTGATTTTCAAGCTGCCAGGTCCAGGACTCGAACTACGGTTGGCCACGTGGGAGTCCAGTGCCTCCAGCACCATAGCACCTGCTGGTCCTGACACGGGTATTTTCAGTGAAATACCAGAGTTGGGGTGAGACGGGACGGGTGGGGAGCACAACCACAGGGAGGCACACACTGGTGGAGCCCTAGTCGAAAAGGCCCTGTCCACAGCCATAGCCGGGGGAGCCACCACCCACTTCTCGGGAGAGTGACGTGTGCACTTGGTGCTCGGTGTCGTGGACAGCTGTCCCGGGAAGCCAGCGACCGGGCAGGCAGACTCGTCAGAACAGAACCCCTGCTGGTCTCTCCAAGGTGCCAGATCACCACAGTCAAGGACAGGTGGGCGCTGCTCCAGAGAAGCGTGCATGCATGTCCTGCCCCAACCCTGTTCCCTGACTGAGGCACAGGGCAGGGGGCGAGGGCGTGTGCGTGCGTGTGCGTGTGTGTGTAAAATGTTACTGGAGTCTGAGGATTAGATGGTAGTAGTGTTTCAATGCTCATTTTCTGATTTGGATGCTTATAATGTGGTTATCTGGGAAAAGGCCTTTTTCTGTTAAAAGTGCGCACTAAATTGCTCAGAAGTATGGGACGTCATTTAGGCATCTGACCTTGAGAAAGCGTTTGTACAGTGTGTGCAGCTCTCCTGGACGTCTCAAACTGTTAGAAAACACTTGTACCAGCCCAGCTGTGGTGGGCCGTGCTGCTCGGACGCCCTGCTGGCTAGGCTGGGACCACGGGGCAACCGGGTTCCACTTTCAGTCCAACCTACAGACCCAGCGTGATGATGTGCGCCCGTAATCCTGGTCATTCAAGACATGGTAAGACCCTGTCTTAAAAACTACATAAATAAATCCATATAAAATAAAATTAGAATCTCTGGATATGGGTCTGGACATCAGTATTTTACAAACGGCACAGTTGGCTCTGATGGAGAACCCAGGCTAGGAACTGTTTTCCAGTCTTCATTATCATTGAAGAAAGAAGGCTACATTTCTATTTGTAAGGTAGGGTCTCACCAGGTCTCAGTCCCTTTGTAGCAGCCTCCCACCTGGGCGACAGGCACCCACCACCCTGCCTGGCTCTTCTGTGGACATGGCCTGGGTATGCCGGGCCAGCCTCGTGCTCAGGACCCTCCTGCCTCAGCCCCCAGGGTTGCTGGGGTGACAGGCATGCCACTTCTTCCACGGTCAGGCTGAGCCAGGAACGGAGTGTGGGTCTTTGAGGGACCCCAGCCCGTGGAGTCAGCTGTGCACGGGGTTTCAGCTGTGCACACCGCCGTGGCTGGGCCTGGTGGTGCGCTGCACACAGAGCGTGTGAACTCTAATTTATTTCAACAAAAGTTTCCTTTTCTCCTCTAAAACTCAGTTATTGAAGAGTTGTTATATGCCAGGCAAGAAAGGACCTGTGCCCTGTGAGTGCAGTCCCACGTGGAAATGCACAGGTGCAGACAGGGCACGCTGCACCGGCGATAAGGCCATTACTGTCACTCGTGCAGCACTGCTCGGGCAGTGCTCTCTGCCCAGTCAGCGACTGCTGACCACCTCCAGGTTCCCGAAGGAGGGGCGCAGGCACAGCGAGACCAGCGAGTTGCCCCGCAGCAGAGAGGTTCTGACTTGTGCCCACACACCCCTCGTAGGGGTGCGATGGGGCTTCTCAGAGGAAGCAGCACAGACTGCATCTTCAGATGTGCACAAAGCCAACAAAGTCACACTCCACAGCCACAAGGACAAAAACCACGGGGGCTAAATGCGATAGACTATGTCCACGACCCATATGAAAGTGATTTCCCATTTTAATTGCCACAACTACCCCTTCCACCAACATCCGTGCAGACAACCTTTTTTGTAGTCCTACTGTGGCCCTCCTCCTTCAGTTAGATTCTAAGTGGAGTTTGGGGTGAATTGTGTGGAAAATCCCCAGGCTTTCGGGCCCTGCTGTCCATGGGAATCCCCAGCAATGTGAGGGCCCCCACTCTGCCGCAGGCTCACCCGGCGGGCATCACTACTTCAAACCTGATGAGCTTCCTCTAGCACGCACGCTCAGGATCTTCCAGAGCGCCAGCGGACACGGCCAGAGAAGGCGAGTAACATTCCAGAACGTTCCACATTACAGTATCGCCATTGATTCCTGTCCGCACAGCAACAGCAGCGTCCCAGGGAGTGGGGTTTCCGTGATCGTGCTAAGACCTTTGACCTCGTGAGCTCACAAGCAGGGAATGTCTAGTTTGATCATAATGCTGGCAACTAAAATATGCTCTATAATTGCTGGCTATAAAAAATAAATCGCTGACATAATAGTTGATGGCAAAATATAAAATAAAACCACACTGTCTGAGCTCTATACATAAAACACAAGTAAACATCACGTCAGAGAGGGAGAGATGGCTTGTCCCCACTCTCTTCGCCATGGAAACGGGACAACAAGGCACCCCTCACCAGGGCAGCTCTGACTCCTCTTCTCCCAGAGGCTCTTTTGGTTGCAGCTGCCTTTCTAAGGCCCTGGATTGGCCAGGGACTTCCTAGTCACTTTACAGCCAAAGTGAGCAGCCCCGTAATGAGCAGATCTTAAGGCCAAAGTGCTTTTCCGGGCAGGGTGGCCTCTCTGTGTCAGCGTCAATTTCATATCAAAGACTTAAGCGTGGATAGCACCTCTGGCCCGGAAGTGCTGTTAGAATACTGCGGCGTTTAGAGCCACGTCACAGTCTGTACCTAGCTCGTCCCTCACTAGAGCGCCCTTGGCCAGCTGGGCACTCCGTACTCGGTGTTACTGCAGGGAGTGAGGGCTAGGGGTGACCAGCCACGAGCACAGCAGGCCTGAACCATCAGCCGTGAGAGGGGGCCACAGCAGTGCCAATTTCCATTTTTTTTTTTTTTTTGATTCTCTAAACCACACAGTCACGAATTTGCAATGAGGTCTCTAGTGCAGTTAGGTCAGAAGATTTTAATCATTCAGCAAATGGCTCTGTAAACTGCAGGGAGTATCAACCTGTTTCAAATTGCATGACGAAACTAAACTCACAGGCATCCCTTGGGTACAGTTTTTAACGGGGATACATTTCATGCTTAATAATAATGGGCCGGCAGAAAAGTCATGACACATTGTTGTATAGAAAACAGAAAAATACTCCGTGACTTTTCTAACTCAATATTTCAGTTTCACTGAGTCAGGGTGTCTACTCAAACCTAGTTTATGCTATCAGAAGTTGAAGGAAATATTTATAAAATAGGAGAAAACGTAAACTTTTCATCCTTTTGGTAATTAAAAGATAAAGCTCATTACACTTTTACACTTCACAACTATGTCTACAGTTCCTACCAAAGAACAGTGGAGTTAAGATTTTAGTAGATTAACATCTTGGATTATAGCAGAAAAATTGTAATGGAGCTAACAAAGTCATTCTCTATGGCAATAGAAGCAAAAACTAATGAGGACAATTTTTTAATTTGCTTGAGAGCACATGTGCTCGCTGGAGAGAGACAGAGAGAGAGAGAGAGAGAGAGAGAGAGAGAGAGAGAGAGAGACTAGTAAGAGAGCACCCTGAAAGGCAGCTGGCCACACCACAATCCCTTCTCCTCTATTCTCCTTTTGGAATTTTGGATACGTGTCCTGGTCTGGGACTCAAACCACACAGTTGGCCAGTCGGGATCCAGTTGCCTTAACCATCACACCACTGGTTGGCGCAGGGTCAAATTTAATAGACTACGTCTAAGACCCAGTGATAAGAAGTGACTCTATAAAAAGACAAGCATACATATACGAAGGTGAAGAGGCTCACGGATATGGCCTGGGTGTTCATTTATAAACACACTGTAAAGTCAGTCATGGTCCCATTTACACCCATTTGGGGAGTTAAAAAACTTGGTAAAGACCTCATTTGGAGGAATAAATTTAACCAAGAAAACTTGTAAAGTATA